GATTTCTAATCTCACGAGGAAAGGTCACCAGGCCGGTCCGGCCATTTGCAATGAGGTGTATACCTATGCATTCGTCTTGAGACGATAAGCTAGAAACCGCTTTTCTTATCTGCTAAACGGTGCTCTGAACGGAGTTACGGAAGTTTTCCCCTCAACACTGTACTTAAACGCAGTATATGAGCGCTATCATTGGAGTCGCCACTATAAGCCAAGCGGGAAGGAGCACGTCGTGGTTGACGTGGCGTAAGTGGTAACGCTCCAGGCTTGTAGGCGAGAGGTCATGGGATCGGTCTCTCGTGGTGTTTGTTGTTTTGCCTTTTTGAAAACATGACCAGAAAGGCTTTTAGCGACAGTATCTCCTCAATTGCTGCCTTTACCTGCCTGTGTAAGGAGTTAGGGAGCACCTCTGCGCAGGTTGAAAGCTATTTTTAATTAATATTTGCCATGACTGAAAACGACGCTCATAGCCCACTGATAAGGTGTTTTTGCGGTAAACGAGTATGATATTCGTGTTCAGGAGACCGAATTTTCCCTGGTTACAAGTTTCCAGCTGAATCTGAGATTTTGACCTACACTCGAGAAAAGGGCAGTCAACATACAGTCAAACGAGAAGGTATGAATCGAAAACTAACTGGAAAAGCACCTTCCCTGAATTTTGATGCAGAGTCATGTAAATCATTTCCGTTATGCGGGAATGTGAGCCGTTGAACGTTTCTCTTTTCAAAATCTTGGTTGGAAGAGCAATTTCCATGCCAAGAGTTCAACGATAGGTTGATGATATGATGGTTGACTCACCTCATTTTTTAGGGTTGGGTCAAAATCTCAGATTCGGTAGGAAACTTATCTCCAAGGGTAGTTTGATCTCCTGAACACGAATATCACGCCTGTTTGCCGCGAAAAAGCCTGACACGTGCATTACGGGCACCATGTTCATACATGGACGACTACTGCCCAAACCTGCAAGGAACTGCTCGAAATTTTTTCGTACAGGGAACTAACGGCAAAGTTGATAAATTAAGAAGTTAGAAGCTTTCTGGCTACATCTTCACGAAGCACAAATGTCTGGCTACATCTTCACGAAGCACAAAAGAAACAGACTCTCCGAGGAGCCGTTCCCCGACCTCTTGCTCGCGAGTTCGGGGCACTGCCACTGCGCTTCCTTGCTTTATAACTACGTTCAGAGAATCGTTTAGCAGATAAGGAAGGCAGTTCTGAGCTCAGCGCCTCGAGGCGACTTCAACGGTATACGACTCATTGCAAATGGCCGGACCGGCCTGATGACCTTCCCTCGTCAGCTATGTTTTTGTCTTTTGTTAAGTGTGCACATACTTTTGAAACAAAGAAAAAAATTTCATCCAAAATTTTTTTTCGAAAGTGAAGCGATATTATCTGCTTTGCTTCCATTGATAGGTTATCGACTACGAGAAATCGATTGAGAAGGATTTCATAGCACGAAACCTCATGGTTCCCTTTCAAACGTGAATTTTGAGGGTGTGCACATACTTTTGAAACGCACTAGTGCTCTGACACTGCACTTTTCAAGCCCTGTTGCATCCGCGTCTCTCTGGATACGACCTCCTCCCTTTCGTTCGGCCGAACGACCCCCTCGTTGTTTTCGCCGCAAACGTCTTGGTTACCCGGTTGAAGCGCGATTTAACCGGGTCCTTATGGGACGCGCCGTATGCTTCACCCCTTCGGATTCGAGGACTCTCTTGAAAGATAGAATATCCCTTGGATAACATGCGAATTCTGGATTCTTTACCTTGTGTCGCTAATAAATATCGAGAACGTGCTTCGACAATCACTACGCGCGGACCCCGTATGAACTCGAAAATTGATGTGCAGAATATAACATACTAATGGAAATCTGGCCTGGCACCAATTCGATTCTTGTCCTCCTACAGTGATGATCCTACTGTATCGATCCGGTTCGATCTCTTCTTTCCAGCGGGCCAATACGTCCCCTCCCCTGTCAACGTGTCGAGGATTTCTCAACCCATGCCTGTCCTCGAGCACCAGTCGGCCACTCTCGTTGTCCAGTGATCATCGATGAGTTTAGCACACGAACCGCGGCAACACTCCAGCTTCGATTTGTTGATGGTTTCCGTTACGTCATTACCCATCATGCGATGGTGTCAGTGGGTATGCGGTCTGGAACCGAAGCGCTGCACACGGCTCTCTCCATGTCTCGTTGTGTGACCATAAATTCTTCCTCCTTAAAGGCTGCATTGCTCCATGTGTCCGCCCCGTATAATATGTCGCTTGCTATCTGTTCACATAGTTTCTGTTTTTTGATGTCCGCTAGCTAAAGTGATTATACGCTTTTTGTGTTTTATTTATGTTTGAGGAGCAAGGAGTCCAGAAGATTAGCTCGTCAAATTGCTAATCCCAATTGTTACACAGCACGACGAGGCACAGGCGAAGCAGACCTCCATCGCGGACGCAGGAGAGTGAATCGTATCTTCAGCCTCCGTTCATATCGGACCACTTTAGCGCAGTATCCAACAATGCCTAAGGAGAGCGGAATTAGCCAACGATCTTCTTGATCACCACACAAAGAGACAACATCAAACACCAGTTGGTCAGGAATCGTCTCTATGATCGAATCTGTTCGTGGAAACTGCGTTATCTGCCCGTATGGAAAAGTTGGAGACTGTGCACAAAAATCTGTGGTTTACCAGCTTCAATGTTTAATATGATGCTTTGTACATTGGAGAAACTGGCAGACAATTGGGCGTACGAGTGAGAGAATATCTGGCTAGCAAACGAAGAAAAATCAGAAAAATCACGATTGTTCCGCTTAGTAAGCCCAAAGGGAAAGTCATGCTAGTTGGAGTCAAGTGCACAACATCAGCTTACGGAAACATAGTGATGCAAGAAGAAACGTGTTAAAAGCTTCATCGTTGCAAGCGATAGGTTACAGCATGTAAGAAGATTCAAGAGAAAAACCAAATTTATTCATTGCTACTATTCATTGCTACTGACCATCGACCCATTCGATAACACATTTGGGGTGGGCTTTTGAAGTATGCTCCTATATGTATGTTGTAGCCGCCTCCACATGTTGCCTATTGCAACCCAAGTATAGTATCTCTTGATATTTCTAGTTGAAATTTGCTGCAATTTGCTGAGTAGTTACTTGAGCTCCTATCTTTGTCTATCTTTTTGATGACGCCCACGGGTATTTAGCGATCGGACAAACAGGCGGACCGGCATGCGCACAACCCACCAAGACGTTTTGACAAACCGGCGCACAATATATCCGAATTGTTGGTATATATTGGTTGACCCATAATTTCCTGGCCGATTTTTGTTCAAATTCAATTTTCTTCATGTCAAATTAGCTTCATAATGAAATAAGTTGATATGTTGAAGAACACATCAGGACCTTCAGCCAGGATGTTTCAGAAGCTCAAATGCGCAACGGATAATTAGTAGGAATTGAAATAGATCAACGACCAAACCAACATTATGCCTTACGACAATTTAAGAAGAACCTTGCAAGGAGCGCGGTAGGCAAGATCAGCGCTACGTTTGCCCCAGTCTTTGCTACTGATCGGGCACTGAGCTATTGGCTCAATAGCATCGGCAAAGACGATAGGAGCTGCAAAGTTCGACCTCATCATGGACCTCCAGTCACTTTCGATGAGGACCCCTTGCGCAACGAATAGGAAGTGCATCCGGACGCTATTAGCAGGAAACTGTAGCAAACATCTGCAGCCTACGCTCCATGAATCGACACCTGAATGGAATGGACTGTAGCAGAATGAACTCTCGATGGAAACAGCATGCATCAACTGACCATGACCGAGAAGCACGCCTGACCATCTGCAGAAATTTCATTCTGCGACCGTATAGACAGGATATTCCCTAGTTGTCACCAGTGCAGATGAGTCAAGAGTCCACCACGATAACAACACGAGGCACGCCTGGTGGCTACCTCGCAGCCTGGATCCACCATCTCAACCAAAGCCCGAGCTCTTTCATCAGAGGATATTACCCCTGTTTGTTGGATTCGCTGGGTATCCCGTTTTGAGAACCGCTTCACGTTATGCAGACAAGCATGCAGAGGTAACCATGGAATAACTCCCAAGATGGCCGTCGCAGTGCGGGAGAACGGTTCGAAACGTCTCAAAATCTCCTTCCTCCAAATGAACGCCCGGCCTCACATTGCAAAAGATAACTCGCCACGTTTGAGGGGAACTGGCTGGACCACGATACCACATCTGGGACTCTTCTGACACGACTACGACATTGCTCCATCGTACTGTCTCCTCCCCAGCGCACTGAAGTTGCTGCTACGAGATAAAAAGCTCGGTGAATACAGCCATTCGAAAATCAACCTCTCCGAACTCATCCTCCTACAGCTTCACTCGTTCTTAAAGGAATGCATCCATCTCGTTCCCAGCAAATGCGATGAGCATCAGTGGTTGCGATGTGGTTGACAATCTTGATTGAACTGATTCGGAAAAGAAATTCTTAGAAAACCAAATCTCGAAATTAGGCCAGAACTTGTGGGTCAGCCCGATATTATAGATATAACAATGTGACTAGTCCTAATGAAGAGACTTAGGAAGGCATGAAAACGAAACAAAATAATATCATATGAACATTTGCACCTGTAAAGATTCACACCCCTCTGCTTCACGACTGTGGCCCTACATGTGCAATTTTGCGCGTGTTTTCCTCACTGCACCAACGAAATGTCCTCATATCAAAGTAAGTGATATCATATCTGATATTAATTATATGAAATTACTATTAATCATTCAATTGATTGTTTCAATTCTTGATTGATGAAAAAATTTTGTAATAATAAAAGTGGATTGGAGATTTGGCAATCAACTCATCTCCTTGGCTTTCAAAGTAAGGAATTATAAACCTTTTCACTAAGACAATTTTACGAACAGGATCTCACTTTTTAGTGGAAAGAGAACCCTTCATTCATCGATGAAGGATTGAGTGAAACTTATTACGGAAATGTTTTACAGACTGTTGCAATGCTACCGTATTGCTTCAAAACTTATCCGGACAAGTCGTCGTCGTGGCCTGAGTTAATGGCATTGTTCAAGATGAACCTATCGAATTCAACGGGTGGCATTGTATCGTTGTTAATGTTGTGTGAACACTAAATTTCGGTACTGATTCGTGGAATGGAATGAGAAGTATTATGATCGACTTACTCAAATGCGCATTTGAACCTGCTCGTCGGGGGCGTTATCGACTTGAAGGAATCTTGCGCGAAAAAATCTTGATTCTGTTGTTATTCTTTGTGTGCCACACAGGTTTTGTACGGTCGAATCTTTATTGAGACTGACGTTTCGACTAACTCGTCGTTCTCAAAGTCCTGAAAGCGTTTTGGGGGGGGGGGGGGGGGGGGGGGGGGGGGGGGGGGGGGGGGGGGGGGGGGGGGGGGGGGGGGGGGGGGGGGGGGGGGGGGGGTGTTTGTATCACATTTGACGAAGGCCATAATGCTTGGTCAAATGTAGATAATAATGAGCGGATAGGTAACATTTGAGTGTTTCAAAACGCTTTCAGGACTTTGAGAACGACGAGTTAGTCGAAACGTCAGTCTCAATAAAGATTCGACCGTACAAAACCTGTGTGGCACACAAAGAATAACAACTGTTCAAGATCAAAATGCCCAGGTTTCAAGAAAGGCGGACATGGAGGAAATCATGATTCTATTTCAGCCATAAATCACTGGCTTGAGACTCATTATCCACGATAATAGTGAAAAGAACTGAAGTATTGCTTTCGTTTTGATTAGAAATTCGAAAACTCGAAAAGGCTGCTACGCGTTGCGAACGGACGGACGTCTTTCACGAATGCTGGCGACGGGGATGCTCAAACTTGGTTCTTGGAGTGCATTCACTAGAAGCTCTTTCTGGCCTTCTGCTTCGTTGCATTCACATCTTACACTTCTACTCCATCCTATTCCATCGATCGATTTGTCTCCACTCTCCGAAATCGCGCGCTTTAACCCGATTCTCTCATTGCGTCGCCTGGTACGTAGCCGGCCAAACGCCGTCTTCTTTCCATGCCTCGCTGGCTCTGCCTCCTGGTCCTTCGATGGTCCATAACGTGTAGTTTTTGTACGTTTGTTTCTCTTCAGAAACCGAATCTTCATGCGTGAAACTTTGTGTGCTATTTCCAGTGATCACAACTGACATATTCATGTTAGGAAAGAGTGCAAGAATTTTCCGCGCAAGATTCCTTTAAGCTTGTTGAAGTGCACATCCCGTTGACTTGTGAAAGCTATTGGTGTAACTATTACTCATATGTTTCAGTTACATCATAGATTAAGCTATGTCAGCGACCCGTTCACAAAAATCATGACTTTTAATAGGAACTGAAAATCGGCTCCCATTATGTACAGCAGAAAACAAATGATGTAAACGGTGCTATAGGATACGGAAGTGAGAAATATACGGAGGTAAATCGAATTCTTGCCAATCGGGCTGCTGATACTGGAGGCTGCATAGTGGCACGATCGCAGATGCACAATATCATTGAGGAAAGGCCAACATTAGATCGTACGGTGGAGAAGAGGTACGAGTGAGCAGCTCGCGCCCTCCCAAGCTGTGCATTCATTTATGCTTATTTAGACTTCTTATGCCGTCATTTAATCATAATGATATCATTTTTCCCGTTGACGGCCCATTGGGACGCTGTGGACCATCTCTCCGGGTACGGTGGCCAAAGCTTCTAGATATTTCTATCTTTCAGCAGAAAGTAAAACATAGATGGCAAGTTCAGTGCGCCATAAATATGGCGAAATTTAATTATAGCATAAAAGTGAACTAAACACGGTAAACCTCTACAAATTTACTTTCTGCGGTAACAACGGAAGAACTGTAAGACCACCAGATATGGTTGTATTCAGCATGATTTTCGTTGCAGACGCATCGAACACGCTTTAAGTGCGATTCAGATCACATCACCCATCTCAAAGACGACAATTTCTCGAACGGGAAGGAAAATCAAACGCGCAGAGCTCCAGTTGTTGTCAGCACGGATCGTTCAATTGATAGCGAATACCATGCAGCTATTTTTTCCGCGACAATCTGGGCAGAAATCTTCGTAGGGATCCAACAACCTCAGTTTTTGTCGGGAAAGGCGTCACGATCATTTGACAGGTCTATGTCAGGAATGTCCTCGAGAAGTTACCACCTAGGAAAACAGACCGTTTTGTGATGATACTGCATGGCCGCTTCAACATGACTGAATCACAACTTGCAAAAGAGAGAATTAAGACTGTTCTTCGATCGATGTCTTTGGATCTCTGGAATGCGATTTTACCTGACATCAAGCCATTGTACATCAGTGAAAGCGGAGTCGCGCGTTAAGACATTTCATAATAGAATCCTGATGAAGTCAGTGTTTAAAATGTGGGTGTGGGCTATATTCCTCTGAACAATCTTGTGTGTTGCTTTCGGAGCATACTGGACGTGTACATGCTTTCCTGAAGACTAAGGATACAGGATCGCATACGTTGTTACAATATGCTGGAGAGTCTGCTCAATGTAGGTCAGCCAGACGGTTGTTTCTTTTTGCACCATTGTGCAGCAGTAATGCTTCATCGTCCGTCACTCCTCATCAAGTGTCCAGCAACTCTGTGGCTTCACTTCATCGTTGTGAGAATAACGTCTTTGGCCCTCGGCATTACTCTTACATAAGATCTTCAAGAAATCAGCAGTGAAGGCTCATTCACACTTTATTGGCAAGCTTTCGCTGTATAACAGCTTCTTCAGGCCTTAAAATTACATATCAAAGTACACAAATACATCGCACTGAATTCCTTAAAAGCATAAGCTCACGTAAGTACTAACCAGTCTGGTGACAATAACCGCTAAATTCTGCAATACAATATATACACAAGTAACAACTGTTAAGGACACAATGCAACGGAAGGACGGCTTACCCCGACACCACTCCCACGCAATTAAAAGTTACTACAAATGCGATGTGCGTGACTATTGTAAGGAATCTTTATCGCCACCGCTAAGATATTAATCTCAGTGCCTCCATGAGCTCATCCCTGTTGTTCATTTCGGGGGATAAGCGTTTTATAGCAAGTGCTTCAAGCAGTTTCCTCTCTATGAGGCATCCCTTGTGCGATGTGCTTCTTGTTGGTATAAAGTACACGATGCCGCGAAAACGCACTCCCTGGGTAAGAAGATGGATTTCCAGTGCTTGGTGTAATGTTTCACCTCGTTTATGTAGGGGGCGTGTATGCTATACGAAGTTATTACGGACCGCATCCTTCGCATGTGACCAAGTACACTACCACGTAGCTGACAAATTTTACTGTACGACGCAGTACGTACAGTTACTCCGGCCACATCGTTCTTCATAAATTCGTGATGATGTCAGCAAGCTTTTCAGGTTGGCAGGTGGTCGAAATACCAATTTGACTGGAAGACCTGACGACTTGATGACATGGTTCACTTTCTTTGCTATTCTTTCATTTACGTACGGTAAAGACACCGACAAGAGCAACCCCACCCTTAAAGTTGCTGTATTACACCGCACGAGGGATGCCCATTAGAGAGGAAGCTGCTTGAAGCACTTGCTATAAAACGCTTATCCCCCGAAATGAACAACAGGGATGAGCTCATGGAGGCACTGAGATTAATATCTTAGCGGTGGCGCGATAAAGCATTCCTTACAATAGTCACGCACATCGCATTTTTAGTAACTTTTAATTGCGTGGGAGTGGTGTCGGGGTTAGCCGTCCTTTCGTTGGATTGTCCTTAACAGTTTTTACTTGTGTATGTATTGTATTGCAGAACACCAGTCTGGTTAGCAATAACATGAGCTTATCTTTAAGGAATTCAGTGTGATGTATTTGTGTATTTGAAATATAATTTTAAGGCCTGAAGAAGCTGTTATACAGCGAAAGCTTGCCAATAAAGTGTATGAATGAGCCTTCACTGCTGATTTCTTGAAGAAGATCTTACACAAATGAGGCTCAGGATAGCTCGCTTTTATCATATCTTACATCAGAGTTGTGGATCTTAATTTCTCGCTGTCGACTCGACCTAGGCTCTCAAGGCGGCGCTTGACTTATTCTTGAGCTAACTTCAGTTGCCTTTTTTCCTGCATAGCTGAGAGCTTCTAGACCTTGTAGAAGTGAGGTGATCTTCAACTCGATGCGTACGAGCTGTAATTTGTGCCTGAAGCAACCAAGCTCAACGATCTTGCAGTTTTCCGATTTACGACGCAAAGCCTTTGTAGTATTTTACCGTGTTCATTTCAAATTACGCTTTCGGGTCATAGTTTCTTTGCATTGCGTATATTAGAGGTAACATTGCTAGAAATCAATGCTTGTATCCTCAAAATAGAAAAGGGTCCATACTGTGAGTTGCAGTCGACTCTGGAATGCCCGCTGTCCGATCCGGATTGGCCGCGATGTTCCGTGCAGCAGATGGTGCTCCGTGACCAGCGACATTGGCTCACAAAACTCTGTGCGCTGGTTCCTGATCAGGGTTAGTTGTGGTTTCTCACAGTGAATTCAACATTGAGTTTTCAGTTCCAATTTCAGTTGCATGGCGTACACTACTGCATGCGGTAATGTCGTTCAAACCATCTATGCCTTTGCCGCCCGTGAAGCTTCCACCTAGGTGCCTTGCACATGCGCACCGACGAGTCCACCCTCCGGAAACAAACCCTGCTGATGGCAAAGGTTACAGCTATGCAAGGGGTCTAAGCAGACGATTCGGCTATGAGTAAGTCGACGAGCTACTGTCCATGTTCATTCATTGTGACTGCAGGGGTTTAAGGTCATCCAGTGATGCAATGTCAACTGTTAGTCGTGGGTCGTCTGACTGGTGAGTACAACATTTTACGTATAATGAACTCCGACTAGAATTTGATGCACGGTTCATCTTTGCAACCTTCTTTCAAGCTTGTGCTTAGGGGCGCGCTTCACAACTGGTGTAGGGTGTGAGAAAATCAAATGCGGTACTCAGTCAAAACGAAGAGAGCGAGACCGAAACTGACGGCACCTCACTCGTTGGTTGCCCACCCCCTCCCCTCTGTGCCCAAAGTTATAGTCTCGACGACAAAACGTACTGATTGACTAAGACTGTGATACAGCCAATTAACATAATCTAGATATTAGTAACTTCGTAGTTATTCGTAGAACGCTCGCCTAACAAACGTAACGCAGCATTCCAAGAAGGGTTATTGCCTTCACGGTGGAGCACCATGCAACCCATGCAAACCTTCTGTCACAGGGTCTCAAGGCTACATTACCTAATCTCACCTCCATTAATGTCATCAAGGGAAGCGCTATAAACGATGCAGTAAAACGAGACAAGATAAAGTTTAGTTGAAATCAGCGTGATCCTGATAAAAAATATAGCTACCCAGGCACCAGAGACGATTTTCAGCAAATATAGCCGAGCACCAAGAACAAATCAAGTGAGTGGGAGAAGATATACCAGGGAAGTACATCGAAGATATGACATCGAGTAGGTTTTGTTGAACGATTTCCTCTGGTGAATGGTTGACCTCAACCGAGGCAGAAACTAGATCGCATGCATCTCTCCCCTTGAGGTCCCTCTTCTTCGTGAATCCAGACTCGCTCCCTTTATGCTGAGTATGCCGCGGGTCCAATAAAAGAGAGAAAATCTCAACTATATCGAACCGATAAATATGATTGTAATATTGGATTGGAAAACTCTGAATTTTATCTTCATCCGAATCGACCGAATATAAGGCTCTGAACGTCTACGTGAATCGAATATTGAGACAAAAACTTAGATTGAATGGATTTTGAGTAAGTGATCGAATAATGAATACCGAGGAGTATCAGAAAGCAAATGCAGCCGATTGAGAAACGAATAGCAAAGTAATAAGGGTTCGAGGATTCATACTGGGTAATGTGACATTTTCACAAAGGACGACTTTGCCGTCACCGCTGTTGTTTATGACTGGCTTGGTGCACATATTATCTATCTTCGCCTGTAAAAATATGCACTACTCTCATTCTGTTCATGCATAATGTTTGCATATCGGGCCAGTGAGAATCCTGCTGCGCTCGCCAATTATCGGATCACTGGCACTCGAACTGCATTCTTTTTTATCGGTGGTGTGGGGATTTATGCCAAAACGGTGTTTTCATTGGGTGTCTCATAATTCCTGTCGAATTTTTGTTCAAATTCGAATTTCTGCCAGTCAAATAAATGTCATTGCGAAACATGCTGATATGTCAAATAGTGCGTATATGTAGAGTGGTAACAAGCGATTTTGAAAGTCAAAGTCGCGCGTATAACTATCTACGATCGAAATATCGAATGATGGACGCCTAACTAACGGTCACGGCTTATTGCTCAAATACATAGCGGCGCTCTGCAAGAGTCCATCGGAAAATCCGCGCTGCGTTGGGGTCCTTCCTGCTACTAGTCAGGCCCTGAGGCACTGGTTCGGTTGCTGTGGCAAAGGCGATGTGCTGTCAACCTCACCCTGGACCTCCTCACTTTCGATGAGGACCCCATGCGTCATGAATTGGAAGTGCACAAAGATGCCCACCACCAGCCTTGATGCAGATAGCCTGGCAAACCCGATGCGCCATCGCTCGCCATCTGAATGGAAACGGCTGCTGCAGTATTAAGCCTCAATGGGAACGTATGCACCTACTGACCATGACCGAGAAGCACGTCTGACCACGGCTGCGGTAGTCTTCTCTCTTCTTTGACGGGAATTTCCTAGCTCAACACACGGTACACCTGATGACTACCTAGCAGCCAGGACTCATCAGCTCATCCAAAGCCCGAACTTCATGTTCCGAGGATATTGCCTTGATTTGTCCGATTAAGTAGGTATCTCGTTTTTATACCCGCTTTGCTATATGCAGGCAAGTGTTTTGGGTGCCATAGTGGAACAACTTCTGTACTTCGGCCGCAGCAGTGCGAGGGAACCGTCCTTAACCTCTCAGAATCTCGTTTCTCCAAGTGAACACCCGACCTCACACTGCGAAGATATTTCGCCACGTCGAGGGAAAGTTGGCTGGACCAAGGTACCATATCCATCGTATAAGCCCTGACATAACTCCATCGGGATAACCTCTTCTCATTTTCAAGCATTGGCGCGAGATAAACAAAAAAAAAGAAATAAGGCCTATGGATTGGCAACACCCCCACACACAATCCATAGGCAAGTTTTTCAATTCTTAGCTTCACACATACTGGGAGAAAAGCACCCTGAAGTTTTTAAAAAATGGATGCATATCATTGATTATGGTAATGGTTATATTTCATCATTCGGTTTTTATTAAAGATAAAACTCAAAGAAAAAAGTGTCAAATTCAGACAGAAATAATGGGACAACTCAATAGGTACTAAGTCGCTCCTAATGCACAGTGAGTCGCGCATTTGCTATGTTGCGCTCCCCGACGCGCCTTTTTGACAAGTTGATAAAGTGCACGTTTCGGGTTTTCTCACCGCTTAGGACCGGAACAGTTTTGCAGGGGCCACCGCCTCATTTCACTTCCGTAGGTTTTGAACATTAAATGCGCAATACATGGATGCGATAAAGTATTTTCAATAATATTTGGTGTTCATATTTTCGATTTCGAAGTGGCGCAAGCGCTCGGTGCTTGTAAAAGTGAGGCGAAAGACCTGCTGCTTCAATTTGAACTGTAGTTGCAGTTCCTTAGGGTGCCCATAAGTTGCAGCTGATTGAGAGCAAGTATCTCTTGCCTATATGTTTGGCAGTAGGTAGTACTTTAAGCGGTTTCGGTAAGCATCAAGAGTTTTGAAAAGAAGAACTATTCGAAACGCCATGAATTATGAAAATTACATCGTGAGAAATCTGTTCGACATAAAAGCCCTTACTAATATTGACATGCTCGAATTTTGAGTGAGCTACTATGATATGTGTTCACATGTAGTCGTAACTCTCTCCGTGACACCGCATGACTTTGAAGGGTCGTCCACAACAGGCATTAAAGCGTTGACGACAGCGTTGGGCGATTTTGTTAGCAGTTTGTTTATCCCACGAGCTTCCTTATCATTCCATTCTGTAGACGGACAGACGGACATACATACATACGTATACGTGCGTGCATGCACGCTACATGCACACAGACACACGTACAAATACAAACCGCCTCACCAAGTTAGCGGTTTATGTAATAGAAGGATACATGTTCATGGAAACGTGAAGAAAATCAGGAGTGAAACGGGCTGATAAGTTAGTAGGACTCGGGAACTTACTTACATGGATAATTTGACGTCTGGTTGATCAGCACGGCGGTTGACCTTACGTGATTAATGCTCGAATGGCTTTGTTATCAGTAGTTCGTAATATTTTCTGCTATTGTTTATTACTTGTGAGCACATAAATATCATTATAGCGAAATTTGGAAGCTATTCGATCACAAACTAAGAAACTAGGAAGCTTTGAAAATTGGCCAGCTTCTTAGTTTTTAGCTTATGTCGAAACAATTCCAAATTTCTTAGTTATGTCGAAAAAGTTTATAATCTTGCACAACATTATATCTAATTTGATAAGAAAATGAATACAAGTATTCTGGAAATGATTGACACTTACCTAGCGGGCTTAGCTGAGACCAGCACCGATTGCAGTGGTGCACTTGCAGCAAAAACTTGCAATGCTAACAGAAACACACAATAAAATGGTGGGTTCGAAGCATAATTGGGAAGGGGGGAGGTCGTCTGAAGTAATCTATACAGTGGGTAGTAGAAATGTGCTGTAATAGGCGGTAAATGCAGGCATTTGGATTTGATGGTGACAGTTGGCCACCGCCAGGCAGGGCCGAAAAGCTTCTTCGACATAACTATTACGTCAGGATTATGTAGGTTAGACCACGTTGACGACTCAACATTAGGCCTATCGGGCGACGTTTAAGTTGATGCATGAGACCGCTTTTCCTGCGATTTTGTTAAGTCCTAGGTTTCTCCAGCGTACCTGAGGCGCAGCACTGCCGAATTGAATGGGTCGGCTCGGAGCGTATCATCTAGTATCTTCTGCAGTGCTTTTCATTGAGTTGAACGCAGCTCATCCAGCCTCTCGACGTCTTCATTAACGCTCACGGAAAGATTGTTCATCATGTTCAGCTGCTTTCAAGACATATGTACTTTTCAGCGTCTTCGATTACTGCTTCCTTTCAGGAGTACAGGGGCGCTGTCTAGTTGAGAATGGATTCCGCATGACCTTTGTTTCGGAGGTGTTGATAACAAGACCGCAAGGGCCTCCTTCTTCGTCCCGCAGTTACTGAAAATCTTCGCTAAAGAGGAGTTCATTCACCCATCGGCGCGAACATCGCCGTAGGAAATCATGGTGTGCTCTATAAAATATATACAAAAAATAGAAATCCAGTGCTGTGAGCGAATGAAAATGGTTTGAAGTGCAAGTGCACCAACGCTTTCAATTTATGGCCACGTTGTGGCGATTTCGAAGTCGTGGGCGATGGTCTACGGACGACTGTGAGAAATTATCATAGTGGTCACTCAAAACTCGGGCATATAAATATTAGTAAAGGCTTTTATGTCAATCAGATTTCTCACGATAATGGATGGCGTTTCGAATAGTTCTTCTGTTCAAAACTCTTGGTGCTTACCGAAGCTGCTCAAAGTACACACCTATCACAGCTTAAACATATGGGTAAGAGATACTTGCTCTCAAATTAGCTGTAACTTATGATCAGACTAAAGGAGTTGCAACGCTTAAAGGCATGCCCCAGGATCACATTGGTGTGGCTCTTGCACACGAATGCGAATGTATTGGTGGAAGTGGGCCGGCAGTAAAGAAAAAAGGAAAAGAATCCGTCAAAAACGCTTAGGTTAAGGGCTCACTCACCTTCCTAATCGGCTGTGCTAAGGGAATGAGAGACTAAGCGCGAGAGGAGAGTATGAGGCGAGAGAGCGCTACAGATGAGAGAGCGCCAGACAACAGCCTGATAAGAAAAAAAAGTCTGCAGCTTGGGCAGCTTACTTTGCAAGGCCCAAGCGCTCTTATCGGTCGGTTTCCGTGCACGAGGACGCCACATCTGTGATTGTCCTCTAGGGTTCTATACTAGTGACCGAAGAGAAGCGTTCACACGAACTCTGCCTGGGTTGTGCCTTTAAAATTTGGAGCAGCAGGTCTTCCACCTCACTTTTACAAACACCGAGCGCTGCACATACCAATTAGGCAAGTGGAAGTTAACGATCATGCATTAATAGTAAGGTACGCGTCGGAGTGCGTTATGCTTTCTATGACAGCGCGGTACGTGCTGCTCTCTGGAGAAGGGCTTTCAATCCACGTATAGTATGTATGAAGATTAACCGCTTCTCTGGAGGGATGAGTTCCGATTTTGGGAGGCATGATGCACTTCTTAGGAAATACGGCTCATTAGTCTCAATACTTGTGTTGCTTTTGTAATAGAACAAGCATTCATTGCCAGAAGAATAGACGTTGGCAACTCATGATTAGGATTTCGACTCTGTTTGTAGTTCGTTGGTCCAGGTAGCAACTTGCTTAGGGTAGCTTTGTGTTGAGCAGAGTAAATCTTCGAGCATTGATATGTTTCGAGACTTTCGAAGGACGAAAAAAAACAAAATAATTAACCAAGGTCGAACTAAAAATCCTGTCGTTGAAATGCTACGCTCGTGATCATCAACTGTTGACTTGAAAATAGGTTCCAGCCTTTTTTCAACTGGACTCACTTTTCGCAGATGCATACTGTGCCATCCCATAAACCCTTTCAGTCATTCAACAAACGCTTATCGATCGCATGAAACGAGATTAATGGCCGGCGACAGTAGCGATAAGCACCAGGATGAGTTTCTTCCTGAGTATCTGCGACCTCCAAAGGATACGTTCGATGTGAGGAGTCATGAAAAACCACTCGATATGCAGGCGATTGAAGCAATTTTATTTCAGGATGAGCCTCGTTTTACCGACTCTACCTCATTGCCTAACTATCTTGGTAATCCAAATTCTATTTACCGTCTTCGACCGCATAAGAGCGGATCGTATGGCAGCTCAGAAACGTCGACCACTGGCTCCAGCTCTTCATCGCATCACTACAACGGCTACTTCAAGAATTCTGGCACTTCCCCGAAATCACCCCCTTTAGACGCGGAACAATCAGCGAAGGTGGCAGAAACCACAGACGGGAAGGTAAGAATCGCCGCCTCTGAGATTCAAGGGTCATGCTACAATGTATCCCAAAAAGTATAGAGATACCCTATTTTTCTTCAATATCTCTATCATGAGGCAACGATTTCTCTCCATATTGTTATCAGCAATGCACGATTACACCAGGCTACAAATCCTTCTATTTTATAAAGCGCTAACTTTGTGTGTCGGTTTGTATGTCTGTATGTGTGTGTATGTATGTATGTGTGTGTCCGTCCGCAAAATGAAGTGAGTGAGAAGGAAGCTCATGGGATAAACAAACCGCTAACAGAATCATGTAGCTCACAGGACTTTAGCTATTAGTGTTTTGCAATGGCATGATTGTGATAGCATCCCCAACGGCTATATAAACACGCACTTAGCACACTTTCGGTCATTCGACAAGGTGATGCTGTGGTAGCCGGCGAGCAGAGGGGAACGAGGGGAGAGTAAGGAGAGGAGGGAGAAGGGAAAGCTTACGCAAGGTAGGGAGGTTCCGGCGCTTGCCGGGGGACCAATCTGGTAAATATATAAGTGAAATTGGAAAGAAAAAAGCTTGAAGTGTTCTTCAGATTTTTTTTACACTTCCGCGATATACTTAATTCAACAACAACAACAAAAAACTTCTTACCCTAATTCCCAGTAGATAAGCCTGCGCCAATTTCACGTAAAACCACCCCCGCTCGTGCAGTGTAACTTTGTACACCTTAGAAACCACCGCAAATTTGCCTATAGCGGTAAGTCGATGCCCTGATCACGAAAATGACTTTCATTTTTCAGCGTGGCGCCATCTGGACGCCAGTTGGCGTCAGATTCTGTACAGCGGTTATTTGGTGTCCCGATTTGGAATATGGCACTCGTTTTCGGCGCTGGCGCTGCTCGTCTGCGCTCTCCAGCCGAGAAGTATGCACTGAACAACGTCAGCGCCGAAAAAGTGATCAGGGCCCCAAGTAACCCCCATACAGAACCTTACACCGGTTTTGGTGAACGAAGTCGTGAAAAAGTGTGACGCCAAAACTGGTGCCAGATGGCGCCACGTAAAAACGATGCGGTACCCTCAGCACATCGAATTACCCCTATGGGCATGTTACGGTTGTCTCTAGATTTACCCAAGTGCACTCACCAACGGAGGTGTTTTTAATTGGAGCAGGCTTATCTACCAAGAAATTAGCGTAATAATTAGTAACACTCCCTCCCGAAAATTTTCACCACACGCTTCGGCATGCTTTGGACAAGCCTGGACATCGTTTGCGGCAGTATGTGCTCACGATGTTTTTCGGCTGTTCTTCGCTCTCGAGCTGCCTGCAGTTGGCTAAACGTCCCGCACGAGTATACCCCATAGGTTCTCTATCGTATTCAAGTCGGAAGATTTGGCTGGCCGGCCGAGAAAACATGCGTTCCTTGAAACCTTGTTGAAGCGCTTGCATGAACGGCGGCGTTGTCTTGTTGGTATTTGAACTCAATGGATGGAAATCGTTGCATGTATGGTACCATGTTTATTGTTCTGGAGGATGGTCCTGAAGCCACTTGTTCATTCGTTGCGTGATAAAAACAAGTCCACTCTTACAGAATGCTGAGAAGGCAGCCCAAACCATGACACTACCGCCACAGTCGCGTTTGGAAAGTGGTTCCTTCCTCAAATCGCGCCAATAGCCTTGCCAGGCCATCGGACCCATCCAAATTCACTTTATAAAAAATCATTTTGAACACTGCACAGCATATGAAAACACATGCGGTAACCGCCAGTGCAATCCTCATCCCATTGCTGAGTCTACATTACGTGTTCCTTCGCGAAAAATACTCATGCTTCCTTACGCGCACTCGTCAAAATGGCGTAGTCAGAAACTGTCTTTGAATGATGTGGGAACATGAACAAGAACATGAACAACATGAACGACACACGATGGGCAGTACTTCTCGACACGGGTGCTACTTCTTTGCTCAGCCGCCGTACACCCTTTGTGGAATTGAATACAGCATTGAGAATTCGGCGCTTCTGCCTTTTCGAACATTCTTAGGTCTCCCGCTCTTTTTTTCAGAGTCGATGTCGTTGCAGAATTTGCTAAGCAAATTGACTGACCGTCCTGATTTTCTTTAAATGCTGCCGTAACTGAGTCGCATATCCTGGTAAGCAGGAAATTGGCCTTTCCCAAAGTCCGTCGTCATAACTCCACTCATTCCTGAAACACTGAGCAGAGAACCGCGAGTGTCGCTATAATTTGAAGACGCCCAGATTTTAACAGGGTGTCCCATAAATATTGCACCAAATTTTGAGCTCAAATTCTGTAGGTGTTATGAGTTTTCTATTCCTAGATTGGCAGACCTTTCAATCCTCTATCCTCTTGTCAATGACCATGCCAAATTCCACGGCTTACCGTTCGGCCTGCATCTCATGGTGCGCCTAAACTTCAACAGAGTGCCTAACCTCTCACAGCTAGGTCGGACATCCGGTGATGAGCATCGCGCTTCTTTGGATTTTCAACCGCTCGACGGCCTACCACACACTATACAGAAAAAACCAGAAATGTAGCTTCCGTTGTAGCCGACCGTAAGCGCTGTCATCTTGCTTAGGAAAAACACCAGTTTTGCTCCGCCCGCTATCGCGCGGCATCACACGACAGTCTTTAGCGAAACTGGAGGACCCATGGAAAATGTCAGCATGAGGTCCTCCATTAACCACCACCTCATTAAGATGTGTTAGACCTTTCCCAGTTTCGCTGAAGTCCATCGAGAATACGCGTGATAACGTCTGGAGCTGAACTGGCATATTATCTCACAACTGTAAACATCCAGCATTTTCTTGAATTCAGATAATTTAGCGGTGAATAGGATTTTCTTGCTGTCAGTCTCAAAATGAAAACGAAATATGCCTATTTACATAAGTGAGGAGCTAATGCTTATCATTTTTACACTCACCATTATTTAGAACCCCGAAAGGATTAGCGGTTCAATGAGTTTGGGCTTTCTTGATATTGCTTTAGAAATCAAACTTATCATTTGCTGAAGACTTGTTTGAGTTTATGCAATCGACTTCTATCAAGTAAGCTGGTCATATCGATACAATGTGCACGTACCACTACAAATAGAATTCGTAAGTAGGGACGCTCTAATGACAACGCGAGTTACGTGACGCAATTGGCGACTTTTGTGTTCTGACGCGCCTTTATCAGCCTTATCAGTTGCTATCGCTTTCATTCATGTACCACCAATGTCCCGGGACCCACCCCACATAACACTTGTAAGTATAGACGCTCTAGTACCAATATGAACGACAAAACGAAATTGGCGATGCTCGCTTTCTAGCCCCTCTTATCAGCTATTATCAGTCGTTATCAGTTCCTATCACGTACCACTTGTGTCCCCATCCCACCCCCTATAACATATGTAAGAACCACTGCGCTATCGTTACTGTGACTCGAGCTACGAATTTCGTGACAAACAGAGGAACCACTCGACTGAAATATTCGGGTTTACTCGAGAAAGGTGGCCAGCACTCTGGGTTTCTCACACAGCCATGTAGAGAGTGGTCGGATAACAACTGCTCACAGTCCATTATGCATAAGCACCACTGCTCAATCCAACGGGAGGAGCACAGCAGAGACAAAAAGTTCAAAGAGCTGGTGTCGAGGGCCGAAAATGGCGATTACGGGCACTCCTCACATGGAACGAGCTACAATCTTCAAACTCGAGGATGCCCGCATGAGGTCTTGAGGAAGTCAGTGAGAGTGAAAGGAATATTCGCCACAAGCAGCAGCCGAACCTTATCATGGTCTGGACGGGGGTCTCAACTACCGGTCGCTCACCATCACTGCCTGTTTACAAAGGAATACAACTTGATACTAGACCGAGCCAAGGGACATTTCGGTGCACCATCTGTTACTGAGGTATCTAGCCACTTTGAGGAGGGGTGATGATCTTTTCAATAGGACCCAGCTTCTGCATAGGAGGCAAAAATTGTTCAGGAGCGCTGTTAAGGCACTCTTTCCGATTTCACATCCTCGAACGAATGGCTCTCCTATCCCTTGATTCCAGCGTGCTGGACCATCCTATGTGGGCTATGTTAGGGAGCCTGCACTAAACATTGCATCCACATGGATGAGCCGGAGAATTTTCTCTGCAAAGTTTTCAAAGAGAACACCCCAGGATGCCATGCGGGCCACAGTAGAGTTGCGCAAATTGGGAGCATACTCACAACAGTAGGAGGGCATATCCGATGAATGTCATTTCTTTCAATATGTAAATGTATGGCTAAAAATTGTGTAAACCTCTTGAAGATACATCCGTTTTGAAAGAAGTTACAAGCAAAGAAAGTAGTGCAATATTTTAGGACACCCTGTAGAAAAAATCATATAAACTCCAAGATTTTTGCTTTCCACTTTCACATATATTTGTACCATGCCGTAATACTGCATAGTTGATAAAATTTGGAGAGATCGTTCACCATTATAGAGATATTGAAGAAAAGTAGGGTGTCCCTATACTCTCACACTGTAAAATTGCACGGTATTCAGAACTTCATGGAGAAAAATGCCGCTAAGGATCAGCAATCTGATCAGCTTAGTCCGACCTACTCAAAAGACTATGTTGGCTATTCTACTGTTTCTGATGTGAGGGCATAGCTAGATTCTTAATTATTTGTTAACATGACTTATGATAGCAACATTTCAGTGGCCTCCCGAGGCTATGCTAACTAATGAGGAAAAATGTGCAATCAAACTTTTCACAGATTTTCGGCTGGAGAAAGGTATGTGTTTACTGATTTTCAATTACCTGGTTCCTGAAAATGGTTCGAAAAGCATGTAGGGGGAAGAATTTGGCATGGTATTAAAGCACCTACATTTAGCACAAATGTGCGTCTGCAAACAGATCCTTGCCATTTTATCATGGGATGTCGATGATGATGATGATGTCCCATTGTTCGACAAAGCCAAGATATACCAAGCAAAATCGTTTTATGATAATTATTATCCATGTGGTTTGTAGAGCAGTGTACAAAGATAGCTACTCTAGGCGGTGCGTGTCGTCAAGAAGCATCCCCGTGTGCGAGTTGTTAGTCGTCTGGTTGACTTTGCTCTTGTCGAGCCAGATGAAGAAGATGATGACAAGCCTGGAGAAGACGTAATCAATTACACAGATTTAGTGAACCTACTTAAAGGCACTGAGGTGATTCTTGAGTGTTCAAGATTGTTTTTGAAGCTTATGTGCCGTCAAACTGTTCAAAGTTATCCAGCTCTCGAATCCCTCACTTTCTGGTGCCAAAGTACCGCCTTTTTTCAGACGCCCCCTCAGAACACCCCGACTGAAGCAGCCGATCCAAATCAAGGGAACCTTATCGACTTTTCCGATGACATTTTAATCTCCACCAGTGTTAGTACGTCGACGAACCTTAACAATGCTATACCCAACCCAACTCCTCAACCACTATCACTTCTTGACTTGTAGAGATTAGATCACATCACATTTTGTTTGTCAATCAATGGATAAAACACCACTTCTCCCACAGCACTGAATCGACCATAGACGGCATTGTTACTATCTATCTTTGTACGTCATACGTTTCGTTTGAATTGATTTATTGATTGATCGTGCAAACCTAAACGTGACCTCATCGAGTTTAAAGTTTAACATTTTAAATGTGATATTATGTGTTGATATGATGCATTGCAAAAAACACATTCGTGGTTGAGGCTTGTGTGTGAAATTCCGCCATTGATACTAAGTACGTTGAGAGCATGTTGTTGCTTACGAAGATTGTTATTGTGGAGGTAATAAACGAATTCTTCTTGAACTTCAATACCACCACCGGAGACGTCAGTTAAGTAGGGGTTTTTCCCCTTATATCTAGGTTAGTATTTTATTGTATCATCGCCGCGACTTGTTTCTTAGCTGTGTGACTTTCATATCCTTGTGACGACTAAGTGATTAAATTTTGGAAGGACGTTAAGGCATTGGGTACTGTTATCTTACGGGCGGAAGTGGTGTAGTGGCAAGTGGCGCGCTTACCACGCGAGCGGTCCGGGATCAAATCCTGGGTCGTGAGTCGCCCGGGCCAACCAAGCCTTCCATCCCTCCGGGGTCGGTTAATTGGTACCAGACTTGTCTGGGAGGATAAAAACACTGACTTGTACATCGGCTGGCCCCCGCAAGTCATTGTATAGGCCACATCGCATTCAAACGCCACTGCGAATGTACAAATGGAAGTAGAATGCGTGCCGCATCCCAAAAAGGGATTGATCAACGGCAAATGCTTATCCTTTATGCTTTTCCCTGCTTTTTTCTTACCAGTGTAGCTCCGAGCGCAACGCGGCGCATTCTATGAGTCATAACGCGGGCTGATTTGAAACTAAGAGTAAAGATGTTTTGGAAGATGTGTCACATGAATTTAAAGGTTGTCCAATTTTTGCTGAAGATTGTCGCGTAATGCGCGCAGTAGCATGCGGAATGAAAATGGTACTTATCATGACTTCGTAAACATTCAGCATTGATATCGAGCTCGGATGATTTAGCGGTTTATTGAATTTCCACAGTTGAAGAATAGGTGTGTAAGTGAATATAACCAATCAATCAGCATCAACCTAGCTATGATGGAAATTGGAAATATAATGGAAATTCGCTATTAGTCCAAGTCCAGATAGTTGAGCAGCTCAACTTTCTTTGCTTCTTTAGATGAAAGGATAGGAATGGAACATATTCACGTGCTAGGGACCTGGTTTAGTTCAATTGAGTGCACGCTCAACTGTCGTTACTTTTATCAGTACAGTTGCCGCTCATACCACTTTCTGTCACCTACATTCAACCCTCGCCACCTTGATCGCTTGCCAGTGATAATTGCAACGAAGTTGTAGAGACCTGCATTCAAACGCTCTTATCATTCCTTGTCATTTCTTATCAGTTCATACTGTTCGCAATCGGTGTCCCGGTCCCAACCTCCACGCAACGTGTAGGAGCTAATATTTACTGTCACCACGAAGGCTGCAACGAAATTAGCAGTACTCAAAATCCTAACTTCCTTATCAACCGTTATCGCTTGTTATCACTTCTGATCATCCGCTATCCGTGTTCCCGTCCCATCCCCTATACCACATGTGAGAGCCAAGGTCCAATTACTGCGAGGGCGCACGAAATGGCGGTATTCACACTTTGGACGCCCTTATCAGTTTCGACGTCCGTTATTCAGCTCCTATCAGTAGTTATCACTTCCCGCCACCCGTCATCAGTGTTCACCTCGGCCCCCTATATATCCTAGAAGTTTGAGCGCTCTGGGTCCAAAGGGGGTGAAGTTATGAATTTCCGGTCAGACACACACACACACACACAACCGCTTAGCCGATTATATATAGTAGGATGTTCT